GGGAAAAGCTTTTGGAAAGCCTTACTTAGCAGGCGTAGCACAGCAGTTCTCCTCTCACAGACACCAGGCTTTCTACACAATGACACACAAGACACTTAACAGCCTAAGATGATACAGAAGATAAGTCTGTAGGGAGCCACAGAGGGGCTTTGTCACTAATATGCTTGATGTCTGCAAGCTTGTACTTGTCGGCTTGGGTACCACATGTGGCTCTTCAACAGCACAGTGTCAAGACTTCAAACAGGGCCTTGGGTGGGTGCAGGAGGCTAAAAAGCTCCAGTTGGAAAAAGGGACCTCACTGCACTGCAGAAAATCATTACAGCCTACAGAAGCATTTAAACATCTAACTTTCATTGGCAATGAAGACAGCTCCTTCTGGGTTTCCGCTGCCTCGGGATTCAACTCTCCATGGTTGGTCTGGCTCTTACATTCTGAGTGTGTGCAGAAAAACTAATACCCCAAGAACAGTAGCTTCTCCTGATGTCCTATTTGCCCTCTGCCTTCTTCCCCCTAGAGATGTATTTTCACTTGTGATAAGCTCCTTCACTGAATAACACATCTACCAGGAATTGCTCAGGCCATGGCTCACAGGCAAAACCTTTCATGTGGCAACGCCAAGCAGGAACTACTTCGTATGCCAAAACCCCAGTTCTTGGGGCAAATATCAATCATTCATAGGATACAAAGAAATCTTCAGATGACACTCCTTTCTAACAATTCCACTGCATTTACTCAGCCTGCTTAAGAGTGCAAACTTTCATAGATTATCAGTTTCTAAGAAGTTTCACAAGGGCAATGTATTCCAAATAGGTTTCTATGGATATACAGTAGATGAATGCTTGGAAAAAAAAAAAAAGCAAAAAAAAAAAAAGCACTGTTATTTCATCCTAAATCTCATTAAACTGATTTGCACCATTAATTTAATTGTAGTTTTCTTTGGCATAAAGAAATACAGTAAAATAAAATGTATAGAAAGAAAAGTATAATTTGTTGGGTTTTTTAAAATAAAATGGCTTATTTCCCTCAACTAGTGCAAGAATAGCACAGCAGTGTCTCCAAAGGTAAGACTGAGCTGAAAGAACCTAAGTTTTTTGCTGCATGTTTCAGTGATGTAACTTAATTCCTGGTTTTGCATGGGACTTTATAAGATAACTGTATTTGCTGTGGTGTATTTACTGCCTTCTGCAAAGGCACTGGTCTGAAAGATTTACTTTATTTTTTTAAATCTAGTTCCATACATTTGTTTTTATTTCTCCAGCTATCAAATAAAATTTTCACACAGATCAATCTTTCTATGCACATGCATTCTCACAACCCCCTCTGCAATGGAAGGGAGATAGACTGAAGCTAGGACAGAGATTTAATGAGACACAGGGTGCATGAGAAATGTGACAGACACACAATTGCTCCTGTCATGACTTTCACTGAGATTTGTAAGAGCTAGCAAATAACTCAGAAAACAATGGCTTTTCATGCAGAAATACATATCAAAGTTTCTTACTGTCCTAGTTTGAGCCAGGATGAAGCCACTTTCCTTTTTACTCCTTTTTATTAATTTATTTTTTCCTTCAGTAAGCTTCTTCCCTTCTTCTGCCCTTATGGCTTTATAGTACTCTTTCCTGGGCTCAATTCATGACCCTCAACCATTTGCATGCCTTAAGATCTCTTATGGCAGAACTTGGTGGTTCTTGAAAGAGCTGGATTGTTGAAGCTCACTTTAGTCATGGTAATGATAGAAAGCCCCAGCAGAGCTTTCACTTGGAGTGGAAAGAAGTGAGATGAAGAAATGTACTTTCAGTGAAAGAACAAGGGTCCCATAAGAACATGCTCATCTGACTTTCAAAGAGCTAGATAACTACAGTAAATTTATCCTGTACAATTTTTTTAAATAGCTCAAGTGACGAGCTGGAAGTTATCTAAGGAAAACTTCTTGCACTTCAGACATTCATACAGACAGATGCATTCACTGAACACAGCTTCATTTTCCTAACTTTGACCACTTTTGCACTCTGACTCCTTTTTACTAACAAAAGGCAAGAAATTTGCAAGGTCTATCATGGAAGCAATAGCAATAGCATTTAGACTCTCCAAAGAGCAGCTAGTGATTTAATGTATAAACCCTAGGAGTGGTTTGGTGTATAGTGGTGACTGGAAAAGAGTCTGCAGGATTATTAAACGTGTTATTTATTTATTCTTTTCTTGAATGATCATGTCCTCAACAACTGTTAATCCACTGTTCAAAATACAAGCTATATTTTACAAGGAAAAAACAGTGTCAAGTAATCTGTATATTTCGTGGGGGCTTAGCCTTCTTTGGGTGAAATTATGAGATGCTGAACCTATTTCTTTTTTTTGCCAATGCAAGGCTATTAAAAGTGTACTGTCCTGAATCAGATTAACATTCTATTAAGCTACTTAAGATCATTTAGTAGGCTGCAGTCAAAAGCACCATGTTTGCTGAAAAAAAGTAAAAAATCAAAACCAAAAAGAAAGACACTTCAGTGAATGAGCTAGGTTCCTTCCCTTTGCCCCCAGAAAAGAACAACCATCAAAACTTACAAGAGGAATAAATTTCAAACTTTTCTTAAGAAAATAAAATAAAAGGAGTGGGGTGAAACATTAATTTATAAAACTGGTAGTTCTTTAAAATTCATTACATCTCTTTTGATCTGAGTTTTCTTCATTAATTCTACTATAAAAGTGGTAAAAAATTACATTTCTAACAGTTCAACCTTATTTTGAAACTTTATCTTAAATTTAATAGGTTTGAAACAACCCTGCAAAATTATATGTTGCGTATGAAGAAAAACTTTAGAAGCTTAGTTGAATTCATGCTGCACAGACTGTGTCGTCTATTAGTTTCAAAAGCATCCAAAAAGTGCATCCATGAATCGGATCCAAATTTTACCTCTGTCTACAATACAAACTTAAAACATTCTTTAAACTTTCCTTAGAGAGCCCTTCTTTAGGTTATGAAGCATAAGGAGCAATTGGCCAATCTATATGAAGATGGAAAAAAGGAGAAACAGTCTCTCAAGCTACTTCCTTAAGAGGAAGCAAATAAAAAAAAGCCTCTGGGGCTCTTGCTTACTTTTAAAAATTACTTAATATGTAAAGCAGGCAGAGTTAATTACTTAAAGTCCAAAGAACCTTTAAAATCAAGTATCTATAACCACTTTATTAGCATATATAAAAAAATATTTTAAATATGTAGTATCGTGAGGACTTCTTGCTAGTAAAACCATTAGAGATTGTTTCTTCCCACTAACATCTTAGCCCTTAATTACTTGAGATAAACTATTTTTAGAATAACATCATTTAGACATATTGCAAAACTCACTAGTTTTTACATCTGGCGGCCTGACCAGCACTGAGGTGGGTTGTTTGGTTGGCTGTGGGGTTTTTTTGGGGGGGAATGGAGGTTGGGGTTTATTCGGTGAGTTCTAGGGGGTTTTGTTTCTGTTGGGGATTTTTTGTTGGAAATTTTAGAAGGTTGGCAACACCACAACAGTCTGTTAGAGACAGAGAAGCTGATGGCAAGCTATGAAGTGCACGTTAAATGCACCAGTTTGGCTGCAGCAATATACTTGGACTTCATGCATTGGTGCCCCCAGCACAGGCTAGGAAGAACACTTAACAAGATTTTGAAGCCTGTGTGGTGGTTGCATTGGAGAACCTAGACTGAAAAAGACCCAGGTGTATGTGGTACTGAGGAAGGCAGCTCTTGTATACAGAAGTAACCAATTATATTACAATATGCAACAACTCTCACGTCCTAAGGAAAATTTCAAATGGTCAACTATAGCTCATTTAAAAATGCTTCTAAAATATAGAGCAGTGCATTTTAATTAAGATACAAACTCTAATTACTTCCTATGAAATCTTTTTCCAATATAAAGATACTTGTGCAAGGCAAAGTCCACTAAAATAGAATATTCCATTACAAAAACAGAGCAAGGTTTACTAACCATATTTCAAGGAACAGCCTAAAACTCGAGGGTGATCTACAGGCCCCTTCACACAGCAAGAAAAGGAAATATAAATGCTAGCATTTGGTTAAAAAAAAAAAAAAAAAAGCATAAAAATAAGTACATTCTGCATTAGGATTCAGATCTTAAAATATCTCCATTGTTGTCTTGGTTTCTATTTGCTTTCCACAATCCTCCAAAATGGCATTATTTCAATGCTGTTATATAAAGAGTCTCGTTAAAGATGCCAACAATTCTTGTGAGCAATCCCTCAGCTCTGCTCAGAGTCGGGCTTTGCATAGGAACAGAGGGGTGATTTTTCAACCAGGTGTGACATCCCCAGTACTTCTAGATGTTCAAGAGCTCCCACCACAGCTTACAGCACTTGCAGGTGGAGCTGGAGTGATGCACACCTGCCGCACACAGGGTCCCTTTTCTCTGGCCACACCAACCCTACTCCAGAGCAGTACTACACACTGGCAGATGCCACATACACCAATGCTTTCTTTCGCCTGCATCCCTTGCCAGGCTGGAGGCAAAGCTGCTGAAAATAGTGGCCTTCAATACCTGAGGAGGGCCTACAGGAAAGCTGGGGAGGGGATTTTCACCAGAAAGGGCAGTGATAGGACAAGGGGGAATGGATTTAAACTGAAAGAAGGGATATTTAGGTTAGATATCTGGAGAAAATTCTTCACCACGAGGGTAGTAAGGTGCTGGAATAGGTTGCCTAGGGAGGTTGTTTATGTCACCTCCCTGGGGGTGTTTAAGGCCAGGTTGGATGAGGCTTTCTGCAACCTGGTCTAGTGTGAGGTGTTCCTGCTCATAGCAGGGAGGTTGGAACTTGATGATCTTTAAGGTTCCTTCCAACCTTAACCATTCTGTGATTCTATGAAAATAGCCATGAGTAAAGGTCTTCACAATAACACTTAGAGGATTTCCATCTTTGAACTATTTTTGGTATTATTCTAATGCAAGTTCCAAAACATTCCCTAACTTATTTATGCATGTCAATGATGCATTAACAATCCGTACCTATGTAGTTTATCCTCCAGCATCTCCATGTACTTTTCAGCATTTTCTTTTACACTGGTCACTGCAAAATAAAAGGCAAAATTAGGTAATGTTATAACTGTACAGGTGTGTATTTTTTTTTAAACCAACTCATTTCTTACCTACAAATTTTACATTTACCAGTTAGACATGAGAATTCCATTAAACTTTTCCACATTTAATCTTCTCCCTTTTTTGTTTGTGAGTTTACTGTATTTGTATTGCATTAATATATCTAGTAATTCATGCATTAACCTCATGCCAAAAAACCGGTGACACTAACACACTAAAAATGGCACAGTTCATAGAAGTTTACTCTTGGAAAAAAAGAAGAAACCCGAAACAACCTAAACCAAACAAACAAGAACCCACAAACAACAAAAAAACTCCCAAACCTAAAAAAAGCCCAAAACAACCAAACAGAACATGCAAAACAAACCAACAAACAACACCCCACCTCCTCAAAAAAACAAACCAAAACAAACAACAAAATAATCCACACTGCTAGGTCCTTCTCTTTATCTTCAAGAGATGCAAACAAGCCTAACTAATTAATCAGTCCATGCACAGGAGTCCTTTAAAACAGGAATCTTGTATCAGACTTCTGATAGAACTGAAACACGATGGAACGGAAAGAATTACCAGTCAATGAGAGTCAATGAGACTTGAGGGGGTTTATTGTGGTTTGGTTTTCTGGAGTATTTTTTATTGTTTTCCAACTTGACACCTAGATATGGCCTAGATATGAGTCTCTACAACTTCTTCACTCAGAAGAAACTGAAATAAACGACTCATCGCAACACTCCATAATAAAGCCATTCTTTTGGATGAGCCTCGGAACTCAATCATTGGTACAAATGGGGGAAAAGGTAAATCTGGGGGAAAATTCAGGCCTTTAGAGAATAATAATTTTCACATTATAACAACTTTTTTCCCTTCCCCCCAACAACTTCTTGCTGACTCCAAGTCTATTAAGACTGCTAATCAGTTGCTTAAACTCTTAACTTGTTGTATGTCAATTAAATATATATTTTAATACAAACATGCATTCTACAGAGTACCACTATTTTTATGGGCAAAGCTTGCTACACAGATCAGGGACCCTGTGAATTTGCCCATCCATCTCCCCCACAATCCAATGCCTCCAAGCACACCTGACACATATCAAGTGCTTCACGTATTTCTCACTTTCCCTGTTTATTTTTTTTAGTGTGGTTTTTTTTTCTTCACACTAAAGCCTAATCTGAAACCTTGGCGTTAACCAAAGCAGCTGTGCTGAAGTTGTGTTCACACACACAGACACAGGAGTTCTCTAAATGAAACCAGTTAGGTATTATCATTAGCAGCAAGTATCAGGGTCACTGTAACATCAAATGTCTGCAGAACGTGGTGTTCACTCCATGAAAGAGCAGTCACACCTCACTGAAACAGTATATATCCCAATAGCAAATATAAGACACACTTTGCAGACTTTGTTTTGCTTTTGTGTTTTGTTCTGTTTTACAAGAGAGTTTATCAGAATAGGAACAAACAAACAAAACACCAAAAACACCACACCAAACCACTCCCCCCAAAAAAACCCCAAAACAAACAAAACAAAACCAACCAACCAAACAAAAACAACCAACAAAAAACCCAAACAATCCCAAACAAAACAAACAAACCCAAACCCCACCACAACCGTGGCACTCTGGAAAGCAGCACAATTTTGTCTAGAACACCTTTAAACCCAGTTCACCATCAGAACAGGTTCTACAACACAACTTGACCCAGCAAGATTACTGGAAGATTGTATCGTGCACAGACAACTGCAGTCATTTATACTTGCATACCCGTCTCACCACTAGAAGAGTGCTGGTGGCTGTTATGCAAAAGCTGATATACTGATTTTTGCAACAACACTGGAGAATAAATAAGTTTCCTTAGTCTGTAGCAGCTCGATAACTACAGGACTAGGTACAAGTTCCTGGCTTCCTTACCATGCTTTTATTCCTGTGCTTCCTGTGGAACTGTGAAGAGCCTGCAAGACTGCAAGTCTTCCTTTAGTGACACACTACAGTTTTATACAAACTACCACCACTTTTTACAGACTCCCAGTCTGTTGATCCCCAGTGCACTGACTTGAGGTCCAGTGCATGCTTTGATAACATGTACAGGTGCATGGCTGCTGTACCTCCCCTTCTCCCTTCAGGGTGAGTTGTTAGAAGTCAGGGACTTACACTTTCAGATAATGAAGTCAGCAGATAGTATTAATTTCTTGAGAGGGATAAGAAGAGGTGGAGAATCTGCTTCACACTCACTTTGTTTCTAACCGATATAGTGACTTCTTATGTTACATGAAAGACGAACCTTGCTTTCAATTTCTCCTGCTGTGCCTGTCAGTTTTTAATTGGGTATGATCTGATAGAGTAATTCACACTTTCACAGTTCAGCCCTGCCCCTACACGCAATTTTACAATGTCCTTGAAGCACACTGCTTAATATATCAGCATTATTCAATGACAAAAAGTAATGACCAAGAATACACCACCAGTCAAAAGAAGGTCAGTTAAAAAGCTAACACTCATTTGGAAATCACCTCACATCACTAAAACCCACTCAGTCCTGTCGAATGCTTTAACTACATTGAAACAAATGCAAAATTTGCTGCTGAAAGAGAAGGCTACCCAAACCAGTTTTGTCTCCTTGGCACCTTCTGTATGGAACTAGAAGACCTGAGACCTGGAGATTTTGCTAGAAAGAAAATACTGCTTAAAAATCCAATGGAGGTTACCTCCCTCATAACAATTTGCAAGCAGCACCACAACAAATATGTAAATATTTTCAGCCTTTCAGATCACCTATTTGAAAGAAAAGACAAGCCACAGATTACCAGATTTTTTGTTCTAATTTAATGAATCTATTCACCATCACTTCAAAGCAGAAAAATGCAAACAGGAAGCTGTTTGTGCCTTCAAGCTAGCTAAGAAAATACTGGATGACAGAGGAGGGGGGAAATAAATAATAATTTATTAAATTATTTTCTGTATAAACATGCCAAATGGTTTGTTTTTTATTTAGGTGAATGGGATTTCTTTTTCATCTGCTCTCTGCTTAGCTCTTCTTGGACTTGAGGGTAGTTATTAAAATAAAGAAGTAGAAATACTCACAGAAGATCAAACACCAGGGTATTTGCTAAGATTAAAAATAGACTTTTCTTGTGAAGCTTTAATTGGAGAAAAGTGATTCAGCATTTCTTTCTGTTAACATATCTTTTTCTTCCTCTTCACAGCAGCAAAGTCCAATCTTGGAATCAGTTATGGTCAGATGGAGCTGAAGAGCAGTGGTAAGTTCCTGTGGTGGTGGCCTTTTAGCTGTTACAGAGCATAAATCTGCCATTTTAGAAGCTCCAGAAGTATCTTCCAATAATTAACCTACATATTCTTCTTTTAAAAAAACATTGTGTAATTTCTCATCTGACAGCAGCCCCACTGCACTAATGCTACTTCTCTTATTTACAAACATTATTTCAGCCTGCACATGGAAGTGTATCATAATTTTTACCCTTCAGTCTTGGTCCTCACAAATTGACCTTACAAAGACCTATGGACCATGACAATTGCTTTGTACTATCATCAATATTTTTTAAAACTTTCTAAAACTGAGTATCTATCTGGATATACCCTACACGCAGTGTCCATATGCTTTTTTTATTTTAATGTAGACATGATTACTAATGCTAAGAGAAAAGCAAAAGCAGTTGACAATCATAGAATGGTTTGGATCGGAGAGGACCTTGATCATCTAACTCCAAGTCCCCTGCCATGGGCAGGGACACATTCCACTACACTGGGTTGCTCCAAGCCCCACCTAACCTTGAACACTTCCAAGGAAGTCCACAGCTTCTCTGGGCAACCTGTTAAGAGTGTCTCACCACCCTCACAGCAAAAATATCTAATATTTTCTGTCATGGAAGATGTGTTTTATTAACGTGTGAAGCTGTGGTCTGAAAAACTGAGAAAAGCTTCAATATATTTGAACATTAACCTGAAAAGCCAGTCAACTTCAGAGATGACAGCTCAGCTGCCCAGTTACATGTCAAGATGATTTATCAAGCCTCAGTAACAAGATTTTGGATTATAGAATAGTAAGGAATTTTGCACCTTGCAGTCAGTGGAAAAGAGCAAAGAACAAGCTCTGTGTAAAGAACAACAACCTCTCTCCCATGTTTTCATTCCCAGGGAACTCAAGTAAAAAAAAAAAAGGCTGGGATTAAAGTTAGTAAAATAGATAGCTCAATAAAGACATGCAAATACTCCAAAAAAGCTAACCTTCTGGGTCAAGTCAAGCAACCAAGTTCTATTCTGGTTCACTAATTGTCTTCCAGTAGTGCAGTAAATACAGAGTCATGTAGTTACTACTTGTCTCTTCCAGCAGTTGTGGCTTGTTCTACAAAATGTGCTGAACCTCTAAATATCACTGCAGAACAGCACAAAATTAGCTTGAGGAAATTACTGCCAGATGAGGTGGCCAAAATTTAGGAGTCTAAATGGATTGATTGTTCTGTGAATAGAAAGACAACACAAAGGTGAACTGCAAAGACAAAAAGTGGTACTGAACATCTATGAAATTAAAGCCCCACATATAAAGACATAACCCAATCTTACATGATCAAATTGAAGATACTATCTCATAACAGGAGATGATTCTGTAACTCAACCACAAAACAGGTGAACTTGAGAATAGGATACTCTCCTGCCACACAAATGCAAAGCTGTGCTCTGCAGTGACAGGCCACCAGCAGGTAGCTCATGCACCATTCTTCTGCTGGGACTGAGTTGTGTGAACACAATGGGACTGCCAAGCAGCCTCAGTCCCTCTGGATGGAAGAGTTTGCAGCAACTGCTGGGTGATTGCAGCAACTGCTGAGAGAAGGCTGAGGGACACCTTATTAATATCTACAAGTATCTAAAGGGTGGGTGCAAGTAGGACAGAGCTAGACTCTTTTCAGAAGTTCCCATTGACAGGACGAGCAGCAACAGGCACAAGCTAGAACATAAGAAG